GGCGACGAGGTGGAACAGGGAGGGAAACGCGTTGTACGTCATACCCTTGATCCCAGCGGCCTCCACCTGGGCGGCTCTTTGTATAATCACTCTACGTGCGTCTCTGTGTGAATGGACGGCTGCAAACCAGATCGCGTGCCCTTACAGGCACGCCACTCTGACGTGCTCAGCGGCTTTGTAAACCTGCCAAGGAGTGAGCCACCTGCGGGGAGCCACGGAACTCCGGGGGCAGCTGCATCTTCTTCATGGCGAGCTGCAGCAGTTTGTTCATCTCCTGCTTGGCGAACCCGTCGACGAGGCTGAACGTCTTCACCGCCTCCTTCCTGGCAGCCTCGCGAGGGCGCTGGGAGATCTGGAGCCGGCGGACGGGAGCAGGGAAGCGGGACGAGTCTCTGGAGCAGGCGGACAGGAGCAGGGGAGAGGGATGAATCGACGGAGGCACACTACAGTCGGGGCGTGGACCTAAAGAACCCTAAATAAGGAACAAGGCCCCTTGTTCCCATCAGTCAAAGTTCGATTTCCCATCGAAAACCTAAGGAAAACCGAGGGCAAGCTGTGAAACAATCAAGGAACACCCAGCCCCTCCCCAACGAAAAGGGTTCCTTCTTCAGCGGCCCGACTGTATGGCTCTGTTGGGTGCCGTCGGCCCCCCTCCTCCCCCTCCCCCACCCCCTCCGAGTCGAGGACGAGAGAGGGGAGGGCTCAGATTCCTGGCGTCCCCGGCCTTGTCCTTGATAGTCGCCTTGCAGAACTGCGCGTAGTTCACGAGAGAGTCCCCAGCCGTGCGGATGTCGTCCGTCGGGGGGAGGCACGAAGGCTTGCTGCGCGTCCACTCCCAAACTGTCTTGTCGCTGTCGGTCCTGCCCTCGTCCTCGTCCTCCTCCTCCTGAATTCGAATTCCTCTCCTCCTCAGTCCTCATCCGGGTCTGCCTCCTAGTAGTCCGATTCCACCTCCTCCTCCTCCTCCTCCTCCTCCTCCTCTTCTTCTTCTTCCTCCTCGGGCGCCGACCCTGAGTATATACACCTAGGCTGCCTCCCAGCCAGCATATCCGGCGACAGTGATTATCTGCACAGTTGCTGCCAACATGGACGCTTCGTCGGCCCCAAACCCGAGCGAACGAGCGACTTGTGGCCCACGCCCAAGCTCCATGCACAGTTCGCATGGAAGCAGCGTTCCCGCGCGGACGTGGCGCATGTTTCGTTCGGCGAGTCGCAGGAAAGCGGCAGCGACAGCAGGGCCACGCGAGAGCGGGCGAAATGGTGTCCTCGCCGAAGCGCCGCGCAGCTTGCGCGAGAAAGCGGCAGTGCTGCTTCGGCGAAACACATGCTTCGCCGTCGCCGCGCCCATCGGAAATTTTGCCGCTCCCGCCACTGCGCAGCCTGCGTATTGTCCCGTCGCCGGGTCGTCGGAAGCGGGACCGCGCGCGAGCGCCTTTCGCTCGCTAGGTGGGAGCGAATTACCGAGATCCAATCCCAGGATCAAGTTGTACCGCAACTTGCTTGTATGGTATCAGAGGGAGGGCGGACAAGGGCGGGGCCCCCCGCTGACCTCGTTCGACCTTGCTAGCTTGGCATATCATCCTACAGAGACTCCTCTTCCTACACGTCGTTCATTTCTAAGCGCGTTCATTTCTAATTGCGCTCGTTTCTAACTGTTCCTGGCCCCCTAGTGGCCTGGAAGAGGCCCAGGACAGAACAATTAAAAATGAAAGGATCTTGCCCCCCCCCCCCCCCCAAAAAAAAAAAAAAATCAAGAACTTTCGAAGATCTGGACATGAACAATGTGTAGTCTTTCTCCTTCAGAATCGTCCCTCCAGACATGCCCTGGAGCGCGCTCTGACCAGAGCTTCGAAGCGGATCCACATGTGGCGACGAGGACCCACACAGGCGCCCGAAAAAACAAACAACGTCCCCCAGGATGCCCAAAGAGACCACAAAAGCGTCAAATCAACCCTCCTCCTCCTCCTCCTTCTGCTCCCCCTCCTCCTCCTCCTCCTCCTCCTCCTTCTCCTCTGTTTCCTCAGCCCCCCTTCATCACAAACAACTCCTCCCTGCCGCACCGCCAGACGTGTCCTCACCAATCGCGATGTTGAAGCTTGTGGTGAGCAAGTCGTGTCCCGAATGGGGCAATGGCTTTGGCGCCGCGCACACTCGTCTTACAAAACTCAAGCGGTTACATGGGTGAAGGGCGGCTCGCTTTTTGTTCAAAGGGCCTCTCCCCCTGGCGCCGTGCACGCTTGTGTTTTGAGAGACCAATCCGCTTCATGGACGGAGGGCGGTTGGTTTTCGACATCGGGCTGGCGCCACGCAACAAAGAAGACAGCCACGCAGATGAAGGGCGGCTCCATTTCAAAATGGGGATGCTGCGGGGCTCTTCTCGCCCAGGCGGGCGAAGCTGTGCAAAAAATCACACGGATGGAGGGGGGGCGGCCCTGCTTCGGAACGGGGCCGTCGCTGTGCGCATCCTCTTTGGACGCCCGAAATGGGTACGGAAAGAATGGGCACAATGCCCAACAGCAAATGTTGTCCCAAACCAACAGCGGCCGCTGTTGGGCAGGCGGCCTGCTGTCTCAAATGGGCACAGGCCGCGGCGGCGCGGACAGCGAGTCCTGTTCAGAATGAACAGGAACTGCTGTTGGGCATTGTACCCATTCTTTCGGTACCCATTTCGTTCGCGCAGATCCTCCCACTCCGTCTGGCTTCTCGCGCACCGGGTAGTGCGGAGCTGCGCAGGGCCTTCACGGGAGGGGGCTCGGGTCTGGGAGAGGGTATGCTGCAGCATCACTGATGCAGCATCCTTAGGGGAAGAAGAAGTCACATAAACATAACAACTCGGAGGTCCGCGCGGACTTCTCGAATCGGCGCTGGACCCCCCTCCTTGGCGCGCGGAGCGCGCCAGGGGCGGCGCCGGAGGCGCCGCCAAGGGGCCCCATCGCCGATCCGAGAAATCCGCGCGAACCTCGGAGTTTTTATGCTTGTTTGACTTTTTGCTCCCCCAATCATGGGTTGATGTGCTCTGGTGCTCTGTCGCTTGTGGCATGCCGTCTGGCTCGAAGGGCAGAACTCGGCCTCAGGGCCTCCCTCCCCCAGCACGGAGCTCTCGCCGCAGGTGCGGGCCCAGTGGGCGCTTGCCTTCTTTTTTTAGTGGGGCGCCTGTGTGCAGCGGATAGAGATGCTCGCATGGGCAACTTCTTCCCTCCCCCACCCCCACCCACGCTCCCGCCTCCGTCCTCCCCTCCTCTTCCTCGTCCACCTGTCCCTGTGGCTGTCGGCCTCGGAATTCGCTATCCCCTCCTCCTCCTCCTCCTCCTCCTCCTCCTCCTCCTCCTCCTCCTCCTCCTCCTGCTCCTCATCCTCCTCCTCATCCTCCTCCAGATCATCCTCCTCCCCCTCCTCCTCCTCCTCTTCCTCCTCCTCCTCCTCATCATCATCGTCAGCATCATCAGCAGCATGTCCCTGCGAGAAGGTTCTCGTTGGGGAAATGCGATAGACCAGATGTTGGCGCTAGAACTTCTTTTCGGCGCCCTCCAGGCCATCGATTTTTTCCATTGGCTGCAGCTCGCATTATGCTTCGAACCTCTTGCGAGGCTAGAATCATCAGCTGGGTACATACCGCGACTCCGAATCCTCATGCCCTTACCTGCCTCCAACTCCTCCTCCTCCTCTCCTCCAACCTCCTCCTCCTCCTCCTCGTGTTGTTTCTTGCGTGCTTGTCCTTCCTCCTCTCCCTCCTCTCCTCCTCCTCCTTCCTCCTCTCCTCCTCCTCTTCGTCCTGCTCTCCTCCTCCCTCCCTCCTCCCTCCTCCCTCCTTCTCCACCTCCTCCTCCTCATCCTCCTCTCCTCCTTCCTCATCATCATCATCATCATCATCAGCAGCATCATCATCATCATCATTGCCGTCGTCGTCATCATCATAATCATCATCATCATCATCAACATCATCATCATCATCATCATCATCATCATCATCATCATCATCATCATCAGCAGCATCATCATCATCATCATCATCATCAGCAGCAGCAGCAGCATCAGCATCATCGTTATCAGCATCAGCATCATCATCATCAGCATCATCATCATCCGCCTCCTCCTGCTCCTGTCCTGACGCTGCCCCAGAACAGCTCGGCGATGCCCTCGCGAACGCCGTCCTCTGCGTCCTTCAGCTGGATGCTGTCGGTCTGCAAGATCGTCTTGTTCACGTCGAAGTGGATGAGCAGTGGCACCTCCCCGGTCCGGGGAGGAGGACCGAGGAGGTGTTGATAACTTCTCCAGACTCTTTGGGCCTCCAGGGAAGGGGTCTTGCGTCCCTGGGCGGCGAGATCCTGGCAGAAGTGCGCTCTGGGACAGCTCTGGGAGTCGAGTTCCAAGAAGGAGGGGGAAGAAAAGGCGGAGGAGGAGGAGGAGGAGGAGGAGGAGTTGGAGGAGGAGCCGCAGCAGCAGAAGCAGATGGGACAATCGGCTCCGAAGCCTACGACCGCAGGAGAATCAGGATGAGGACGAGGACGAGGATGAGGACGAAGGGGGCAAGGAAGGAGGGGGGCGAGAAAGGAGGAGGGGGCGGAGCAGGACGAGGACGAGGGGGGTGGGCGGAGAAGGACGAATACGCGAGGCTGAAGAGGACGTGGACGTGGACGTGGGCGTGGACGAGGACGACGACGAGGACGACGACGAGGACGACGATGAGGACGACGACGACGACGACGCCAACGAAAGCGCAGCGGATCGGCAGCAGCGCCTCGCCGTCGGCGGCACGCGATTCCGCGCTCTCGGAGATCCCCACGTCGGGCGAGGCCGAGAGGCGCGCCGGCTTCTCAGAGGCGCCTCTGCCCGCCCACGACAGCAGGGTGGGAAGCGCCATGGGGGCCGTGCTCGCAGGAGGGGAACTTTGGGCGTTGCTCGATGGGGGGGGCTGCTGTGTCGGCGCGGCCGCAGGAAGCCCTCGCAAGAAGCCCGGCCCTGCAAACCCGCGCGCGAGGGGCACTTGCGGGGAACCCGGAGCACCTTGGACGCAGCAGCTTCTGCAACGGCCGCGGGAAGTCACCGGACGGTCTTCCGCCATCTTCGGCCTCTGGGGGCCCTTGCCCGGCCTTGGGACCGTCAGAAAACGACTCGATTCAGGATGAAGAACAAGTCCCTGGGAAGGGGTCCAGACCTCTGGGGGTCGACGTTGTGAACAAATCACGACGTCGGGGGTCTGTGGAGGAGGAGGAGGAGGAGGAGGAGGAGGAGGGGGGAAGGAGGAGGAGGAGGAGGAGGAGGAGGAGGAGGAGGAGGAGGAGGAGGGGGAGCAGGAGGAGGAGGAGGAGGCGGAGGAGGAGGAGGAGGAGGAGGAGGAGGAGGAGGAGGAGGGAGAGGATAAGGAGGAGGAGGGAGAGGATAAGGAGGAGGAGGAGGAGGAGGAGGTGGAGGAGGAGGAGGAGGAGGAGGAGGAGGAGGGGAGTGGGTCGAGATCTCTGGTGGTCGATGTCGGGAAAAGAGTCATGACGCCGGGGATCTGGCTACATGGATGGGGGCGAAGAAATGTGCGCCTCGCCTGCCGCCTGTTGGCCCCGGGGGTCCCCTTAGGGCACATAAGGTGCACCTTTCTTCACCCCCGATGTGGCCCAATTCCGGAACGCTGAACCCAAAACAGTTGCCCTCTCTTGGGAGGCCGACTTTGGCTTCCGCCGCATTCCGCCGCCCCCCATTTCAACACTAGTAGTGTTGAAATGAGGCTCGGCAACACAACACGGCGTCTCGTGGTGGGCCTCGCTAAAAAGTCAACTGGAAGCGGCGCGACAGAAGAAACACGTACGGGGACTGCTGGAGACGAAGAAGGCGGGCTGGCCCCATCTCCATCTTCAATGTGCCACCCCTACGTGCCGCCGCCCTTCCGCTGGCTTCCGCCGGAGGAGGCGGCCTCGTTTCACTTCCGCCGACCTTCCGCCGCCTCCCGCCGAGAAAGAGATGACAACCCGTTCGATCCTAGAAGACAAGGCCCTTCTTGGAGCCCCCCGCCCGTCGCCCCCCCATCTACGCAACGCCCAAAGAGCTGTGGCACGCGCGCCCATCCTGGACAGGCTCGGGTCGGGTGAACAAGGGGGCACCGTGGGGGCTCTGGCGCAGGAATGTGCCCAGAAGGCGTCAGGCCTGGGGGGGGGGCCTCACCTTACGAGACCTATCCATGATTGGGCGACGATCAAGCGAGGCTCTTACGCGAGATGGTACGGCGACCTTACGCCGCAGCTTACAAGGGCCGCCGGCGCGGCACGCCACATTGGAGACGAGGGCGCTTACGCGCGACCTTACGCGGGCAACATACGTGCCAATGTCGGCGCAGACGACCCCGCTTTTCTTTGCGCCGCTCAATTGGAGTTCCCCTAGCTTCCAGACCCTGGACTCATTATCCAACGCTTCCTTCTTCAACGCCACCGCCGCATGGCAAAGACGGAGTTAGCGAATCGGCTCATGCAGCTGGCTTCCCCAGCGTCTCCCCGGCGCCGTAAGCGCCGACGTATTGGGGAAAGCGCCCTCTGCGGTGGGGCGGGAACCAGCTACATGCAGCAGATTTCGGAACACCGGCTCTATCTCCCCAGACCCCCGACGTCGACCCCCGGAGGTCTCGAACCATTCCCCGTGACCTGTCTTTCAAACGGCCCTGAGGTCCAGCAAGGGCCCCCCAAGGCCGAAACTAGCCAAAACCTCCCGTCGTGATTTCTGCTCCACGACTCGAGGGGGTCTGGGCCTGAGCTCCCCTTTCAAAGCACCCCCCTTTTGTCGGGGGGCTGCCAAGAGTGCCCCTGGCCCAAGGTAACCCCAGCTTTTCGTACAGTGTGGCAGCTCACCCTTCTCAGCCCCACTTTTACAAAGCCCCTCTTTTGTCGGGGGCGCCCCAAAAAGTGCCCCTGGCCCAGGGTGACCCCAGCTTCTCGCTCAATTTCGCAGCTCCCCCTTCTCTTGAGCAGGGACCGACCGTCCTGGCATTCCTGTAGTCCTACTACGAAATGTTCTTAGAACCCCAAAAATGTTCGAATAACAAAACCAATGTTCTTAGAACATAAGCCTGATGTGATCAAATACAACAAGACAGACTCCGCCAGAAATGTTCTAAGAACATTTCGTGGAAACCACAAAAGGTTCTTTAGAACATTGTTCGGTAGGGCTATAGGCGAGCCAGGACGCTTCGCCACTGCTTGATTCCCAGCCCCACTTTTCCAAGCCCCCTTCTGCCGGGGGGGCGCTGCCAAAACGTGGGCCCCAGCTGTTCGCTCCACGCTGGACCCCCCCCCCCCCCGAGGGCCCTCTGCGCCTCGCACGGGGCGCTCCTCTCGGCAGCCCCGGAGAAATCCGTTGGTGCTTTTTGGGCCAGGGGGCACCTCTGAAGCAACCTTGGGACATCTGGGGGATCCCAGAAATCTTGGAAAAATCTGGAAAAATCTGGGGGATCCTGGAAATCCAAAAAAAAAAAAAAATCCTGAGGCCGTGGGGGCCTCCTCGGAAACCCTGGGAACTGTGAGAATCCTGCGGCCGCGGGGGCCTCCTCGGACATCCTGGGGGCACTCTGTGGGCCAGGGGGCACTTCCAGCCACGTCCGACCCCTCCGTGGCGACGCGCACAAAGAGGGGGGGAGGGCGAGGGGGAAGGCTTCTCAGAAGGAGGCGGCTTCTTGGAAGGCGCGGGGGGCCTGACATCTGCAGACGAGGCTCACGTTCCTCGGACCCGAGGAGGCCCACCCTGGGCCCAGGATCCCTGCACGCGCTCCCCCAGCCCCGGCCAGAGCAGGCCAACGCGCCCGTCCCGGGATCGGCCAGGATCGGCGCAGGTGCACGATACTCGGGAGCAGGAAGCTCGGCACCAACACCGTCATTGGCTCGGCGGCGAGCCCCGGGGGGAAGCGAGCAGGGGCGGGCCTTCTCAGAAGGCTCTCGGAAGTCCCCCGGCCTTGCTGGACAGTTTTCGGTGCGCTCCCCGAAGACACAGAAAACCTGTCAGAAGGCGCCAGGGCGTCTGCGAAGTCCCGCCGCCTTCTGAGAAGGCCTCGTCCTTCTCACTTTTGGGGGGCCACATGCGGCGAACCCTACCCCTGCTCCCCACGATTTCTGAGGGGGGGGGGTTCACTTCGCTCGGGAGCTCCCGAATGAAGTGAACCCCACCCTCCCCCTCAGAACTCGTGGGGAGTAGGGGTAGGGTTCGCATGTGGCCCCCTCTAACTTTCCCCCTCGCTCGCCGCCGATCGACAGGAGCAGTGGGGGGGTCTCGCAACCGAGTGGCGTGGCGTCGCCGCTCCCCGGCGCCCCGCCCCGGGCATCTCGTGTCTCTGGCTCGGGGGCGCAGCTCGGGCGGCCCTCCTCGCCACGGGTGGCCCCGCTGGTGATGGCCGTGGCGGTCTGGCCATCGCTCGGACGTCCATTACCTGTGCTTTTGTTTCGGTTTCGTGCGTGGTGTTTCCGCAGGATGATCCAGGACACGCCTCAACAATCCCCTCCGAGACAGAGGGCACACGTCCGAGCGATACCAAGAGGTGGCTGGTGGTGGTGCCGCTTCTCCGTCCTCCGACTGCTGCGCCGCGGCCGTATCTTCTAGGAGCGTAAACTCGACGGCGCGTTTGGCCGTCGATGCTTGGGCCGAAATGCCACGGGTCTTGTGGTCGTCAGGGCACGGACACGCCAGCCCGCGAGGACCGGTACTTGTAGGCTGCACGGCTGGCGCCCCTGCGTCGTGCGTGCAGCTTCGACGGGGCTGCGAGCACAATCGGGCAGCGTTCCCAGCAAACCGATGCCCCAGGCAAGCTACAATCGGGGCGTAGACCTAAGGAACCCTAAATACGGAACGAGGCCCCTTGTTCCCATCAGTGAAAGTTCGATTCCCCCATCGAAAACCTAAGGAAAACCTAAGGCAAGCCGTGAAACAATCAAGGAACACCTAGCCCCTCCCCAACGAAAAGGGTTCCTTCTTCAGCGGCCCGACTGTACGAGGGAACCTGAGCAAGAGCCGAGTCAGAAACGAGCGGCACGCATGCCCTGATGAGGCGCGGTGAACAAGGGGGGTGTCTTGGGACCATCCTGGTGCTCGGTGTTCTCCCGGGGCCATAAAGACTATCATGACAGGCAGGGGCAAGGGGTCGAGGGGAGGAGGCGACGAGAGAACGAACGCACAACGACGAGAACAAGAGGCACGCGTGCCAAGGATCATACAATGACGGATGAGGAACACTTGGGGGTGGTGATGGCGCCAGGCTGTGCTAGCAGCTAGCAGTGGGGAAGTGCGCGAGTGCTGCGACACGCCGGCGAGCGACCATGACGAGCCAGCGACGAAGTGCAGCCCTCTTCGAACCCGTCGACCAACGTCGTCTGACTCGGCACTGCCGCCGGAATCGACGGGCAGGGAGGCCACCAGGGAGGCCAGGCGGGGGCCAGGGGAGGCCAGGACGACGCAACGAGGACACGAAAATGAGGTAACCCCAAGCCTGGGGAGGGGGGGGAGGGGGGGGGGGGGAGGCCAGAGAGGCCAGGTGGAGAGGCCAAAGAGGCCAGGGAGGCCAGGAAGGCCAGGGCCCGGGGGAAACCGTGGAGGCCAGAGAAGCCAAAGGGGGAGGCCAAGGGGGCGAGGGAGGCCAGGGCAGAAGGGGCCACCAGGGAGGCCAGGGGGGGCCAGACACGACACGAAAATGGGCCCTTGAGGGGGCGGCCAGGGAGGCCATGGCTGGTGGGACGGGGCCCCGAGGCCAGGGCAGGGAGCCCGAGAGGGAAGCCAGGGCGGCCAGGGCCTCGGGGAGGCCCGGAGGAAAGCCAGGGGGAGGCCAGGGCGGGAGGAGGCCAGGGCTGGGCGGGCAGGAATGCCAGGGCACGGGGGGCAGGGACGAAGACGACACGACAGGAAGCCCTGGGCGCGGCCAGGGAGGCCAGGGGCCGGCGGGACGGGGCCCCAGGGCCAGGGCCTCGGGGAGGCCCAGAGGGAGGCCAGGAGGGCCAGGGAAGGAGAAGGCCAAGGCGGGGGGAGGGGGGGGGGGAGGCGGACT